AAAAATCATCGCAAGATTTATGTTAAGGAAAATAAATTTCTTAAATATTTCCGGAGCTATATCGTCTTTACTATGTTTTATACTTTGTTAGCAAGTTGGATTTCTCCCATCAATCTTTTGATTAATTTTTTTGGTTATAATCTTTATTATCAGGCTTATCTCAGACAGTATAGGCCATAGAAAAATAGTTTTAACTAGTAGGTCCGTGCGAAAAATTTGCACAGCATATTGTTATCAAATGCCAAATTAATAAGAAAATGAAATAATGCAATGTATCAAAATAATAAAGAAATCAATTGTTACTTTATTGATAAATATAATCAAAAAAGGAAACAAAAACTAATTTAAATCTATATTAATGTTTGGAACCAACATGTTTACAAATTTCAATAAGCTGTATCTTTGCTCAAAATTGTCCGATTTCGATGATTTTTTTTTTTTTGTAGAGAATTTAGTAATCTTTTATATAATCATGGTCATAACCAAGGGGATAAAAGTGTGTAATTTTTTAGTTATTTGCAAATAAAGTTTGTTTTCTTTCATAACTTGTTTGCCTGAGTTTTCGGGGTGATGCACTATTTTGCCCGCCTGAAGGAGAAGCAAGCCTTCAAAATTGGTGGCTTAATCTTGAGATTTGGTGAAGAATTAACGAACACCGTCGATAAATAATATAAACCCCTCCTCTCTCGATCATAGAGGCCTCAAGTCGACGAAATGAGACATGTATTCAATGACAGTACTACAAACAACGTAAGATTGTGTGGATGCGAACCCTATGCCTCTCGAATATAGTACGTTCTTGGGCTTAAATACGTATGATCCGACGGTTCTGAAGGAACTATCCGGGTCTTACGCTTCAAAATCTTCAAGGTCCAATTTGTTCCATACCGATCTACGGGGATTACATTATAAATATTTTAGATTTAGATTTTACTTACTGTAAAAATAAGTGAATACTTATTTTTCTCTAAAATAAAACTTGACTACACTGACAGACTATAAGAAGACTTTTCTGAAGAAACTATCCGGGTCTTACGCTTCAAAATCTTCAAGGTCCAATTTGTTCCATACCGATCTACGGGGATTACATTATAAATATTTTAGATTTAGATTTTACTTACTGTAAAAATAAGTGAATACTTATTTTTCTCTAAAATAAAACTTGACTACACTGACAGACTATAAGAATACTTTCACAACCTTACCTCCCTCAGTTGTATTCAAGCACTCCCATAACTCCTCAATGTTTCATTATAATTGCAGAACACATTCTAAATGGACGACATGCACTTTCATTGTTTGTAGTTGGCAGCTTTCCTTATTTAGCTATTATAAACTAGGCAATGCAAATTTGCAAGAGGGCCCCAAAGATATGTATTGCCCAGGCGCATCTCATATGTACGGCCCGATCTGTTTTCACAACATCCTTGGGCACTTCAATAAAAGCAACTATTTATTTAATTATTTTATTGTTCCCCTTGATTATAGCTGAATTAAAATAAAATATAGAATTTCCAAGTCAATATCAACTTTTTCCAAGTCAAATTTAATCTTTTCCATTTTAAATTCAATTTTTTTTTCGATATGTGGGTTAGTTATCGTATGCGTAATTTTTGAAAATACTATTGATTTTAAGTTTACCTAGTAACATTTCGATTTATATTATCTTTTCGGATTTATTCAACATAAGTGTCTAGTATTATGTAATCGTATGCATAGGTTTTTAAATAATTTCCATTTTAAGATTATGTCATAATCTTTCTATTTGTTTAAGTTTTTCGGATTTATTCGACGTAAGGGTCTACTAATATGCTATCGGAGATATTGTTTTTGAAAATAATCTCCATTTGACGATTACGCCACTGCGCTTTGATTTATTAAAGTTCTTTGGATTTATTCGATATTAAGGCCAATTTAAATGTACTTAGAAACGTAGTTTTTTTTTAATTATCTCCATTTTAAGATTACGCCACTGCGTTACATAACTTACGATTATTAGATACACAGCTTAATGTTCGAAATCATTTTTCTAATAAAACTAACAATTCTGATCTATGAGATATATATATATATATATATTTTTTTTTTTGTTTATACAATTCTTATCCTAATTTAGTTTTCTTAATTATAAATACATTGAAAAGTACTTACCAATCATGTAGCGAGTAAAATATTGAGTTATCATGGTTGAAAAAAAGGAGAATTTAAAATATACGATGGTTTTATTTATATATCAGCCAAAATAAATTAATTATTTATTTTCTCATTTTTAAAATATATGTGTAGTTTTAAATAGTTAGTTTCTGTTTATTATTGTAGTATCATTTTACAAAATGATAAGATACCAATTTCGAAAAAAAAAAAACGGACTGTAGATATTTGGTTAATTCTATCACAAGTTGCTTTTTTAGCTTTGTATTGATGTGTTTTTTGTATTCAATTAACCTTTTTGTAAATAATTACTTTAGCTTCATAACTATTTATTTATATTTGAAAACATTGGGTGATCTTGATATGAAGATTATTTTCATAAATTACACCTTTAGAAAGATATAACTAGATCCTTATATAAAAGAAATCCAAAATACTTAAATACAGTAGACTCCCGTTTAACCGGCTCTCACGGTCAACTGGTGGTAGTGGCAAAATAAAAAAAAAAAATTTTTTACATCATTAAAAGCATTGTGAGATTCTCAACCACTGGTTATAAATTTAATTTTTGTTGTGTTGCGGTTCGAAAGGTTTTAAATACTTGACATGTAGACAAAAAAGATTTTGGTTTATTATTTTTTTACAATTGACCGAGCCTCAATAAAATAAATTTATTCCAACTAAAATTGATTCTTGAAACAAAATCCTTATGCTTCATGTATTTCATAGAAAAATTAAAAAGAAATACTGTGTAGTACTGTAACTGTGTATATTACCGACAAAATCGCTTACAGCGTTGAGTACTCTTTTTTAAAAAAAAGTGGAGATACTGTACTGCTGAGAAGACATTTGGTAAGGTGATAAAAAGATTTTGTGAAAAATATACAAGATAATAAGTAGAAAGTTTTATAAGTCGTTAAATTTAATCGGCCGAAAAATGATATCTTCTTGAGTTAATATGTATATAGCCAGCCAGCCTTTATTGACTAAATGATTTGATGTTTCTGCTATGTTACATCTGCTATGTAGAGGTTAAAATAATATTTAGTACTATCCCTATTAACCGGCGATGTCTTGGTCCCGACGAGGACGGATAATCGGTAGCCTTCTCTAAACCGAATTGAACTAACCTTTATCTTAAAATTGAGATAATTTTCAAAAACTACCTATACGATAACATACTACTATATACCCTGATATCGAAGAAATTCTAAAAACTTACATGAACCAAATCACAGTGGCGTAATCTTAAAATGGAGATTATTTTCAAAAACAAAGCATACGATAACACAATATTAGACCCTTATATCGAAGAAATCCGAAAATCTTCGCCGTTCGCTAAAAAAGCGTTACATAGCTGTTAGGGGACAACCCCCTCAAGGTAATATCCTTGGTCCTGTCCTTTACACCGTTTATACAGCTGACATCCCAACCCATCCTGACATTGTCATCACCACATATGCTGATGACACATGTATCCTATCTGTTAATAATGATCCATCAACTGCATCCCAAACTCTCCAATCACATATCACAAACCTTGAAGAATGGTGTAAAAACTGGAGAATTAAAATAAATTCCAATAAATCCGTAATAATAATAATACCAATAAATAAACTTTTGTTCATAGTTCAAGTGATTCGTTCATAGTTTTAATTGTTTTGTTCGTAATTTTAAATGCTCTGTACATAGTTTTACCTGTTTGTATATAGCTTGTGCACCTAAGGTTTTCTTTACTTTTTATTTTATTTTATCAATTTTATTTATTGTTTCAACGTTCAGGCCAGTAATATTCTATTATTTTGTACATTTTTGTTATTCTGAAGGGACTTAGTCCCAGAATAAAGTTTTTTTTTTCTATTCTATTCTATTCTAAATCCCATCAAATTACCTTTACCCTGCGTAGCAACCCCATCACCTCCTGTCCTACAGTATCCTTTAATAATTCTCTACTTATCTCCAGTTGAACAAATCCGTTATCTAGGACTACGCCAGGACAAACGACTCACATGGAATCCTCATACAAGACTGAAAAGACAAGAAACTGCTCGACGTTTCCGACTACTCCAACACTTACTAGACAAACGCTCTAGGCTTTCAATCAATTACAAACGACTCATATATATGACAATAATAGACCTATTTAGACTTACGGAATTGAGCTTTGATGCTCCACTAAACTATTGAATTCCTCTTGTATCCAATCCTTACAATCCAACATCCTTCGTAAAATCCTCAACGCTCTTTACTTTGTCACAAATAAAATCATCCATAAAGACCTTAATGTTCCATATGTTTCCGATTTGGCCCAACCCAGATACCTATCCTTCCATAACTAATTCCAGATCCACCCGAACACTCTTGTTTCAAATCTTGCTTCCTCCTCGATCCTTAATAACCCTCCGAGGCGTCTAAAAAGAAGATAGCTTCGTGATCTAATTATGTAAACATATTATTAGAGTGCTACCAATGGGTAGTTTCTCAAAAAGCGTTTTCATGTGATTGTATCATTACTGTGTGCACATTTACTGGTTGTATTTTTTTTTTTTTTTATAATATAGTTGTAAATATCAATGAATAGAAAAAAAGGGGGGACAACCCACACAAATACCCCTCTTGTTGCTTCGCTCTGTCGGGTAAAAAAATATATTAAACTGTGCTCAGATTAGCCTTTGATAGTTAAATATTATGTCTATTTTTTCCCAGCCTAACCTTGGAATTTCCCTAAAAAGAATTTTTTTTCACCACAGTGGAAACCGTGATACCAATGCAGAGGCGGATTTAACACATTTTTACCAACATGACCACTACAAATTGCCCTGTTAAATTAATTGTTACACTTGTTGCAGGATGGAGCGGAGATGAGGATGCTGTTTAGCCGCCGACTCCGAGCGGTGTGGAGCAGGCTCGGGCTGGTGGCGCTGGTCCTCTGGGGGCTGGTGGCCCTGGTCCTCCTCTGGCAGCCGGCCTTACCGTCCCCGCCCGTCCGGTCCTCTTCGTCTTCTGCCGCCTCTTCTTATATTTCCAAGTCCACCTCTCTCCCTCGCCACGACCTCTACGGCGAAGAAGGTATGTACACCTTATATTAATACTTTATTATAGTATAAACTAGCTGATGTACACATCGTTGACAGGTGTATAGTTAAAATTTGAGAATCGTTTTTTTTTTAGATGGATTTTGTACTATGGGGGGAGGAGAGTCCAAATTCAATTCATAAAATTGGGTCGGAAGGGAGGAGGGGGGTTGTTTTGAAATTGTTTATGGCGGGGCTTATACAAAAGTTTCGCAAAAGTCATAACAAAAACTTTATTGTTTGGCTATTTGTTTAGGTACCCCTCAAATAAACCGACCAACACCGATCCATTAAAATTTTTTAATTGTTTAATTTTCATTTATGATGAAGCGAGGAGATTGTGGAGTCGATTTATTAATCAAAAAGAGTTGTAGTCTTTCCGCCATGATCAAAAAAGAGTTTTTTTCATGATTTCCGCCTAATCCGTTTGGTTAATCCAAAAAATTTATACGACAATATTTGTTAGGCTCGGAAAGTTGTATTGAACGACACCTTCAACGGGAAGATCGGACAACGTTGAAAAATGAATGTGTTTTACCTGTTTTATGTGACAACGTGTTGCAGATGTTCGGTATTACGGATTTTTCCCGTTGAGTTGTGATAATTTTTTCCATCAGTTGAAAAGTACAACTTTTAAATGTGGCTCGAGGTAGAGCAGGTTGGGATTAGAATCGAAGCAACTTCCTAACCGGGATCTCTAAACAAATTACTTAAGAATTCATGACTTTGGTTCTACACAATACTTGGTTTCCATTTAAAGCCTCTACTTTAATTCAAACAAACCTAAATTTAATGTAAAAATTTCAAAAGTCTACCATTTGCCATTGCCGAGCTTACCCCTGATAAAATTTCGTTGGACTATGCGGACATCCAGACAGACAACAAATTTTTTACAAGTGGTTTTGGTGTCTATAATGTATAAAACGGAAATATATCATGAAACGGATTGATTCTATTCAATCTACAGACGAAACCTTTATTTTATTTATATACATGTCCTTTAACCTATAAACATATGTTTATTATTAACATTTATTATCAACATTAACCGAGATCTCTAGACAAATTACTCAAGAACTCATCACTTTGGTTATACTCAATATTTTGTTTTCATTTAAAGTCTATGTTTTAAGTCAAGTAAACCTTAATATAATGTTAAAAATTCAAAAGTCTACAATAAGCCATTACTGAGCTTACCCCTGACAAAATTTCGTTCCAATGCGGAGATACACACAGATATTTTTTTTTTTTAAAGTGGATTTGGTGCCTGCAATGTATGAAACGGAAAGATATCATAAAACGGGTTGATTCTATTCAATGTACAGACAAAATCTTTATTTTATTTATATAGATGACTGCAAACATTTCCAACCGCAGTATTGTTTATCTAAAATGTAGGTAATGAATAAATAACTCGTCACCGTTTCGCCAATTCTGGCATCATTAGGACAGAAAAGAAAAGAAATCCAAGATCACATCACTTCATGGCATCCAACCACATACTGTAAGAAACATGAGGTAACACCTGAACAAAGCATATCACTGCATTGGCTCGGCACTCGAGGATGATTGGGCATGAATTTGATTTTGGTGGTGTTCGGGTGTTGCAGAGAAAGAAAGGAGTAATTCTGGGGACGGGATGCGTGTTGTGCACACGTTTTTGCAGAATAACATTTGTGGATTTCATTTCTTCTTTTTTATTTATTATTTTCTTTTTACGATAGTTAACCCATTTCTGTACGAATGACAAGCTTACAGAAAATTAATCATATATTTTTTAAAAGCTATGTATTTTTGAATTGAGGCTTGATTTTTCAGATGTAGATCAATTTAAATATTTTAAAAATAGATTTTGAGTTAAGCTCCTTAGGTTTTGTCAAAATACATAGTCTCGGAGGCGTTTTGAGAAAAAAACATTCAGCCAAGTGGCAATAAAACGTTTGTTCACTTGTTTGTTTGAAAACTGGAAAATAAATAAACATATGTTTTGGAAACGCTCATAACAGAACTATGAGAGTACAAGGAGCTTTGTAAGTGGATATTTCATTAAATTTAATTATTAAATATTTTACCCCCAATTATACTGTTATTTGTACAACAAAATGTGTATACTTGGATAGTAATTTTGTTACCTATATGAAACAATACGGGTCTAAAATATCTTATGACCCCAGAAAGATAACTTGAAAATGTTATTTTGATTTAAATAATTAAGAACAAAAAATTGAATTGAAACTAACTATTAAATTGAACTATTTCCGACTTTATGCCGCCCATTGGTTGGACACTCCTGTTCTCAACTACAAAACCTAATATAATATATAATAAAACGTAAATAAATATTTACATGAAGAGAAGAATAGTTGGGGTGCTCAGTCAAAAAAGGAAGGCAAAAATAAATTATAATATTTATTTTTTACATATGCCGTCGTCATATGTCAAAGTGAGAACATTGAACAGTGATTCTCACTTTGACACTTAAGGAGAAAGCCCTGATGATGGCCTGAACTTCAGGTCGAAACGTCGGCATATGTAAAAAATAAATATTATAATTTATTTTTGCCTTCCTTTTTTGACTGAGCACCCCAACTATTCTTCTCTTCATTATCCACGACAGTCAACCAATTACCAATTATGAAATATTTATATGCATTCCTATTTACAAGTAAGTTAAAATTAAGCCTTAAATTGTAAAATATGCAATACCATGCAACAAAAACCAAAGCGTGCAAAATGAAATTTCAGTGTGGTTGTTCTACAGATCGCAAATCTTATAGATTGTCGGTTTTGAAGTTTTTACACCTAATCGAACAAAATGTGCAATAACAATAAAACCGGTCTCTAATTATCACTCTACACTGAGGAAAGATAGGTCGTATTACCTTTCTTGACTCTTTATAGCCTACAAATACGAAATTGTTAATTTAAAATTGCTGAAAGATTGCTCACAAGTTTGAACTCCTTTCCAACGACTTTTGTAGACCGACTCTCCATCTGCACCCAGAACTCTTCCTCTTTACATAAACATTTTCTCAGAATTCTTTGCGATTAACTGCTTCTCTTTTAGGGCAGGACAGGTTATTTTTAAGGTCATCTTTTCATCACTTACTTAGATCCTTGTCTTGCCACATTCTGAAAATATATCAGAGGTTTATCCAAGGAACTACATTTACCTTCAATATTAACGTTTGTGTTAACAAATATTTTTTCCCTGCACTGGATCAAACCTATATAATTATTATTTCCGAAATATATTTTAATTATCATGTCACCATCCTCCATATGATGAGCCTTTCAGTTGATAGAATGACCAACTCCAATTTCAACATTTTTTATTATTAATTTTAGTGATATTTCTAATGGAAAAATGTATACCTTCATTCACAATTATATATTTCACCAACTCTTGAATAAACATACTCACTGTCAGTACAGTTATTATAAATTTTCCAACCAGGAATATCACTAAAATGATCTTACTCAAACTGAATATACATGATTATATGTGCCTTTCAGTTGACAGTATGACAAATGTTTGGAAAATTTATAATAACTGTACCGACAGTGAGTTAAGTTGATTCCAGAGTAGATGATTGTAGTGTTGAAATGTAAACTTTCACACTAGAAATAACAGTAACATTAATAATCAAAAATGTTAAAATTGGAGTTAGTCATTCTGTCAACTGAAAGGCTCATATATAACAATAAGTATAATAATTTACTCAACATCATGTGCACTATTGGATGGCTGAATAGTTTTGAAATATAAAGTAAATGATGTATTCACAGTCGTATTAACGGCGGTTTTATAACCACTTAAACCAACTTTTTCATCTGCAGATAATTCAATGATCCATCATGGAACCTAAATCTTTTTTATAATTTCTTCAGTTAACCCTCTATTCAGAATATTTAATTCAGCATTAAGTATACTAATGGTCCTTCAAAAACATATATTCCTGGTAATAAGGAAATGTACATAGTGTATGTATACGGAAAGTCCGTACTGCATCCTAATTGAATCTAGAGATTAAACACGAAAAAATACAATTTTATTTCATTGTGAATATTCTTGGTCTTTTTTTTTTTTGTTTTGTTTTTTAAATAAAATAATAAACTTTTCATTTCTTAAATCATTTAACATCCTTTTTTTTATAACGGATAAAACATTTTTATTATAAATAATTACCTTTTGTTATTGATTTTACGAAAATCTCTCTTCAATTATTTGTTATTCACAATTTTCCTGAATATTTATATAAAATCCTTTCAGCTGACAGAATAACCAATTGCAATTTCAACACTACAATATCTTACTACCGTAATATACCGTAATATCTTACTATTGAGTCAACTTATTCGATGTCTGTACAAATATCATAAAGTTTTCAACTAGAAATATCACTAAAATTATTACTCAAAAATTTTGAAATCGGAGTTAGTCATTTTTTCAACTGAAAAACTCATACATACACCAAGTGGGCGGAGACTAATGTTGCCCAAAAACAATGTCTTGGTATTTTTCTTGCATTCGCAAGACCAAGAACAATACATTCTTTTCTCCCTTTCCTTCCATTTTCAAATATACGGATATTTTCCCAGACCAGGAGAGAAAATGGAGCATTAATTCCAGAGTTAAAAGTTTCTCCAACACCACAATTCGATCTCGTAATCTTCGGTTTATGAGGTTGTCGAGGAACGCGTTTGTTCGCTCCGGCCACTAGGCTCCTAATATAGGTCTTCCAGAGTTCAGTAATAATATATAAATATATTAGTATTCATCCTGTATTACTTTCTATATATTAGTATTCATCCTGTATTACTTTCTTAAGTCAAATAGATGAATAGAAATCTCCATCGCTGATGCCTTGCCCATATTTCTTAGGGGTCAATCAATCATTGCTTTTACCGCATTTAAGTGAAAAAAAATGTAGTGATTAGTGTTATAGAGATGTCATCAAATTTGTTCCCTGATATCTAAAACTCAAGTGAGTA